AAAAGTAGAATACAAAATACGCGTGGAATTGGTGCAAATAAAGAGATTATAGATTTAGAGCTGATAGCTATGTAAGTAATAATTTTTGCAACATAGTTGTGAAGTAGCTGTCGTTAAATCTATATCTATGATTTAGTGTCGAGTAACGAAAAAAGGCTTTCCTTACCGAAACAAATTAGAGTTTAACGAGCAGAATTTTTTTAAAAACTTAGCCTAATCTATTTTCGATAGCATGTAAACGCGTTACAAATCCATCTAGGTTCTAGAAAGTAACGCATAGATTAGTTAAGGAGATTAGATTGCAAGTAAATGGCGCGCTGAGCTAAATGTCTCGGTGTTCTAGTAATTATAGTGTTGTTCGATAAGCCGTTTAATTAATGAACTTTAATTAAGAGTCTATCAATTGTCAACGCAAGACATTTAAGTCTTCGAAGAGTTAGCTGATGTTGTAAAACTAGTTACTTACTTGGATCTGAACTAGTTATTGATCAAGCAGTGTCAATTAAAGTAAAAGGAAATTGGCTCCTACTAAGTTAAAATCAAACCATGAAAACTAAACTTCCATAATTAATAATTTTGCTTCTTGTTCGTTTCAGGTAATGGCAACTCAACGTTTAATCAATTTCGGGTCTTCAATAAGCTTCAAACAGTACGTCAAAAATGAATATATATTTTTGACAGAATTAACACAAGTTTCAAGAAGTAAGTCGATCTTTTACGTATAAGTTTTATCTACAGAAATCATTACAAATGCAGGACTACGAATTCACAGCTAGTATTACTAAATTATCTCATCTTGTCATCACATTTTCGTCCATATAAAACTAAGTCCAAATCGTTAGAAAATTAATTACACAACAGTACAGAAAATCCAATTTCACTGCAAAACATTGTACAAACCAAATAGCCATACAAACACACCTACATAAACATTTTCCAAGCTGAATTACCAGCAAAATTCTCCGAAATCAGCGCGTAACACTTCCTTCGTTGTAATCACCCAACGATTCGAGGAAACGAGTTTCTCGAGCCGACGAAAAATTAACTCGAACCCTCTTTCCTCCAAGCAAAGCTAGTCGCGACTGGTCTTCCTCGTGACTGAACGCTTTCTCTGGTTTGACCGCGGGACGATATTGAAATTATGCGCGCAATGCCCGAAGCGGCACGGCACAAAAGGGCCCGGCTGCTCAGGCATAAATTGGCCGGTCGAAATTCCTCGAGGCCGTGCCGACCGATACACGCCTCGAGTCGTGGAAATCTTCGAAGGATCGCAGCTTCCATCGAGTGGTTCGCGAAGAAGCTTCGAACGAAACGAGATTACGAATTTATGGGAGGAGGCCTATTAGCCTTTTGTTTCTTCGGTTTCGATTCGACACTGCGACGAATAGTTTAAGCTTCCACGGCGCCATTTGGCGAAACAGCTGCCGAAGATCCCGTTCGACATCTGTTAACCGCCCGCTCCGAAAAGATAAATGCAGCCGCCCTTTACCGATTGTAATTCTTCTCCCGACTGACCTAATGGCAGAGAAAATTAGGACCCTTGAGCGGTGAATGGTACTGTTTCGTGTGCAACGCGCGAGCGCCGTATCGCACCTATACTTGACACCCATTGTGCCGCGGCCGGTTGATGGATGTTTGTCCGTAATTTCGTTCGACGCTCTCGCCTGTTTTGACGAACGTGTGTTTGATGACTCGTGGTGTGACAATGCTTTTATACAGTTCAATACTGGGTCCTTTGTGTCCTTCTGTTTCTTTTATGCAACTCGGCAAATCGAGCTTTCGGTGAGAGCTGTAACACGTTCGTGTGCGTGCATCCTATTAAGAAGGTGTTTACTGATGACTCTATTGGCGAAAGTAATACGAAGTTTTACTGTGGCATATGTGAGGTTTTGCTGATTACTATGTTACTTGGAACACACGATGTTACGGTCTTGCGAATCATACATCATCACCTTTTTCATCATTATGTGGAGGTATAAATTTGATACTCTTTATTCAATTCTAATGTATATTTATTTAATTAGTATTAAATCTTACAACTAATACCGAAAGGGATTTGATTGATCGTAAACATATTTCTAAAGAGAATACTGCCACTTTTAAACCCCTTTTAGCTGTTAAAATTTTCCAAATTCGTATTGTACACAGAGACAGCGTTCGTTCCCGTTGCGATCGTAACTCGAAAATCGGAAGCAATCAAATTGATTCTCGGCCTGGCGGTAACTTTCGCCGATTTTACTCGCGTCGAATTTACGAGTGGGTTTCGATCCCATCCGAGCTCTATTTACGCGCTGTCCACGACGAATATTTCCAAGTGGTATCTACCGGTGGAGCGATAGTCCGTGAACAATTACCCCGGTTAGCGTTCGTAGCCGCGATAAGTCGCGGAGAGTAAATGCGCTCGATATAAAGTGAAATAAGACTGGGAGATTTTGATAGACTATCTCGTTGGCCGGTGATTTATAAACGTGCGCCTCTGGTTCACGGCTGAAATTAGTTATTCCCACTCTCTCCCGCGCGGCTCCTCGCCGTCGGTGAAATATGAACAGAAAATGAAGCCGGTTTTAGTGAACATTATGTCGTATATCCGGCGCCGATATGTAATCACATGAATCGATCAACGCGATTTCGAACGGTTCCGGGCAATTTGTGCTTGAGGTTTTTGCGAGATTGTTCTATTTAATAGGAAATTTCGGGTGATTGAAGAAGGTAATGCAGTAGTAAACTGCGGCGATGGAGATCGTAATTAAATGGAAAAGTATATGCGCGATCGAGGTCTAAACTTTAATCATGAATTTTTTATTTATATTGAATTAGGTGCAAATTTCGTTTCTTTGATGTTCGGGTTTGATGAGCAAATATTACCAGTTAAATTTAATCCTATTACATAAATTTGTCAATTATCAAATAACTACGTCAAAGGAACAATAATTTATGATTAACTAGGTAGATATATTCTGCATACATATGAGAAGATTTGTAATAAAAATATTAAGATTCATGGCGCATGTAGCATATATATTTCTTATAATAAAATTGATAAAAGAAATACCGTAGATAGATATTAAATTTGTCCCTATGAACATTTTTATACTATTGATCGTAGTGGATTCAAGAAGAAGAAATCAGTTTCGTCAATTTTCCAACAGCCTTCTGTTGATGATTTCTTACAAAAATTACGCTTGTATCAGACATCGCGACACTCTCGATTATTAACAACGTCAGATGGATATACATACTTGTTCAACATGATATTACGAAGGCAGTGTTTTGAATTGCATCAAATGCTGCGTATTTATACGTGAAAACTCTACAGGTATGTTATACAGCAGATATAGATGGATCATATATGTCCACTCGTATATATTCTCCCAAGCACAGTGCAGCATTTGTAAATTATTAATGACTAAACTAGTTATGTCGTTTCTGGTGGCTAATTTGACGTGAATCGGAGCTAAATATTCCAAAGAGCACTAGCATATCCGCGATATCGTAATTGTATGTATTAAACGACATCGATTTACCCTTCATCATTGATATACTCTCCTAACAATTATCTCCAAATTTTCAATCTAAATGTACTTCTAATGAAACGAAATCAAAGATTCCAATTTATGTACTAGCAATAAATAAATAAATAAGTAAATAAGAAATAGATCTAAGCAAAGACGTACAGAGAAGGAAAATTACATATTTTGTAGCAAAATTGTAATTCATAACTATACCCCAGCATCTTCTTTCTACAGCGTCGATATTCATCCGATTACATCACCTTGTCAGTCGCTTTATACTGGAAACCTTCCCTCCGATCGATTCGATCGGTCCAGTCGAGAATACTGCTGGTTCCGAGCATTACATGAAGCCCAGGCTGTCGAAGGAAAGCCGAGTGAAACCTTAGACTGCTACGTCACCGGAGAACAGAATCCATATTGAAATGGAAGGAAGCCGGCCCGGCTCGTGTCCGCGTTCAAGATAGAGTTACTCTGCAGACGACGTAACAGTGTGACGATAATAAAGCGGCATGAATAATTCATAATTTTCACAGCATGTCCAACAGGAAAGCTCTCGTGGTCGGCTACGAACCGATGGATCGCCTTCAAAAATTCATAAACCTGTCTCTCGATAGTTCCCTAGAAATCTATTCTCGATCTCACGGAACGCTGACATAGTCTCCACGAACAATGGTATCTGAATTTTACAAGATACCAGATCTTTAGGAGACAACGTTTTTCGAAACTATGAATTCACTAACTTACACGAGAAGAAGATGTAGTAGACGTTATTCTGAATAAGTATTTTAGACTAAAACCAATATAGTATTTTGTATTTATAAATCAGTTAGTGTTTTATATTTAAACATCGCTCTATTGAAAGACACTATAATGCTGTTTAACAGTCCAAGCGCTGTACATTGTCCAGGTTAGATCATCTCACAAGTAACGCGATTTTCCAATAAGTTGAGTTCAAGTCAACCACTTAATGGTACTCATCGTTGATTAATTTTACCAAAACTCTTTATCTTCGTTTGATATACGTATTCGAACGAATCGAATTACTTAAAGAATGACCCAATAAAATAGCAAGCTTAACCCACAAGAACCGTGACATGAGCAGGATCGTGCCCTCTCGTAGCGCAAATAGTCGCTTGTAGAACAATACGAGAATCTTTTTCTGCGAGCGCAATCGGCATGTTTCTCGTATCATTCGTATCATCGAGATTCGATAGTTGGCGAATGGACGGATATGTTCGACTCGATCGCTGCTTACTCACGTGGTTACACGCCGCCGCTGTCACGAAGATTCCCGTCTGTTTGCTTTATCCATGACCCTGGTGGCAGGCTAACAAGACCCCGGGGCCGGCGTACAAGACATCGACGATTCTGTGGACTTCGATTCGCCCAGTCATTACAACTATTACAACGGGACCTTTAATTCGACCCCTTGAGCGGATTAACGACTTCATCTTGCCTGACGGGAGAACACTCTGTCGCCGTGGCACGTCGCGCAGTCTCGCGTCCATCACCGATTGTTCCTTCGTTTCGTGGTTTTCTCCTGTCACGTGAACCTTGGTGATCTCGCGGAGAGGAATTCGCGCACGGATGAAACCTGACAGGATTTATCGAGCCGCGTGATTTATTTTAAACTACGTCTCCACCGTGGAGATGTATGTCGAACGAGTTTTGTTACTGCCGGGTAGGCGGAGAGTAACTCAAGTTTTTCTAGAATACGCGACGCAATAAATTGTCGAAGAAGTATGACTTGGTCTTCAAAACGCTCGGAAATTATGGCGCCGAAGGTGAGCGTATTTGCGTTCAGGATGCAAAACACGCGTTCGTTCTTCGTATTAGGATTATTGCATCTTGTATTTGTTATTGGCTTGTGTAACTAGGGATTTGGATATCAGTGAAAGATGTATAATCCTGTAATATTGAAAAATGGGGAAGTGTTAAACGTATTGATTTTCAGTCATGTTCTTCTCAATGGGGATTAGCATATAGTAAAACTAGGTGATTGTCGAATTTCGTAAATACGTGAATGAGGAAATTACGATCGAACTATTGAATGAAGCGTGTGGAACATGCGTATGGCTTACCTACGAGGGTGCGTATTCTTGGTCAGGGTGATTCATAAATGGAGTTCGTGTGATTTAGGGGATTGTGAATAACCCCATATTCCCTATCGTCGTCAATGATTCAGAGTGTTTAAAAAATTATTATTAGAAACTGATATGCACGAACATGAAAATCACATTATCTATAAATGTTTATTAATTATTACGTGCAATTTGGATTTATTTTAAAATTATACCAGCATGACTGAAGATCACGGGAATCTTGTTTACCGAATATGTTCGTATTAAACGAAGAAAAAAACTATCATAACCTACTTCGTACTTACTAATCAAGTAATTCACATTTTTCGATATAAATACATACTTCGGTTAATTGCAGGAGATGGTAGCTTACCAAAGAATGGATGAGCGAGCATCGAAACGGTACTCGGCAAGTACGTACCGCTCGAGCGGTAAGAAGAAAAACAGAGAAGGGAAACAAACTCAAAGATAAATAAAAAGAAGTAAGCCACGTCGTATCCGTTGCAGTATCTCGAACTAATAAATCATGGTTTTCGATATAAATGTTACGTGGTCGAGTTACCCCGAGGAGACGTAACTCGAGTTCACGCTGAAAAATTACCCGCTCTTAATTCCCGCCGACATTTAAAGGAACGCACTTAATTTTTCGTAATGGCCAATCATGGTTATTTATATGCGCATTTATGTATGAACCATCCAACGATGGAGAAGTCATAAAAGAGCGTCGTCGGGCGTCCGAACACCAAATTTTCCTTTCTTTCACCCTTTCATCCCGCTGTTCTCCCCTGCTGATCGATAGTTAATGTAAACGTGGCGTAACGAATAAAACTGGCCTGTCTGCGGGGGGTAAAACGCTTGATCGTCGTCGTATAATTAAGCATTTTGGCGTGGGCTCGATAAGACACGCTACGGAGGTAATTAAACGTCGGCGTGTTTTCAAGAAGCGATGTCTGACGTTTCGACGCATCGTTCCGTGTGGCCAATGTTAAGTTAAAATTGAGGATGAGTTTATTGGGCGGTATAATTTTCTGATTAAATTTGATGATCGAGGCAGAACGATTTTAGCACTAGAGTTATCATGGTGAGAATTGAAAGATAGATAGTAAATATTTAAATTTGATGAAAATCGAATATAACACGATAAAGGAGAATATCGTAGGTATAAAGTAGTATGTAATGTTATTAAGAAGAATTTGATAATTTATGTTATACGTGGGCTATTTAAGGTTATTGGCGCATAATAGAGTATCTATATACAATACACATTTTGTCTCGTACATTTTCCAAAGTACATCCTCAAGTTTTCAGCACCTATCTTGTGTTATATCTCTATGCTATATACCCTCTGGATTATTCTATTATTTTATCATAAGCTCGTAAGATGGACTCGCGTAATAAATCATGAAATTCCTTCTAAGGATATTACTATTGCATAAAATATGAAGTGAAGTAGATACCACACTGCAGAAGAATATGTTCTTCTATTATTATACGTATATTATATAATACTAATTCAACAACCTAAAACCTATCCATTAACTTCGTTGCAGAACTTCCGTCTATATATTTGTATAATTTGCGATAGAGATTTTAAATATTGAATACAAACAATAACGCACACCTTATCCAAAATTACGATTACAATTTCAGAATAACATTTTTCCAAAATTTGGTGCCAGGGATATGGGAAATATAAAATTTTAGAAAAATATTCATATATGTACATTTCAAAGAGAAATTTGACCACTTTGCAATTTTATTCGCGACTTCTGTACTAACCCACCAATTGGATGTACCGTTACTTTCCGTTTCTGTTCGATTTCTACTTTTCGCGTGTCGTTGTACAGTTCACGGGCCATCAGAGGAAAGAAGAAGACGCCGCGTGCGGTAAAAGGCAAGATTCGATATCGAAAGCGTTGTTTGGTAATCAAAGAACGGTACTCCGGCGTGTGGTTCAAGGGTCAACGGTAAGTGGCATTGCGCCAGGCCAGAAAAACGGGACGAATGTGTAATTATCGGGATCGAGGGAACATAGTCGGATAATGAATGTCGACCAGATCGCGCGGTACCTTGGGCGCAGCTTTCGCGGTTTGTCACGCGATCGAAATTTTCAACGGTATGCAAAACACGGTATACCACTTTCGTCTGTTGCTAATGGGACGAGCATACACGCTGGAGAAGACGTAACTCAGGTTTACACTGAGAAATTACACCGCCATCCATTCCTTCTCTGTGTTTACTTTGATTTTTTTGCTGTTTCTTTTTCATTGTTTTTGTCGATTATTTTTTTTTTTTTTATTTAAAAAACAAAAAGAGGTAGTCGATTTTATATAAATTGTTGAATAGAATCGTAAAGGCAGGACATTCAGGGTTTTCAAGCTTGGATAGAAATAGATTGAAATCCATAGAAAAGTACTCCAATCTGTAGTATAATCAATGCACTGAATAGAAACGAGTATTTGCTTGCGTATACTCCATATGAGTATGTTATTTGCTACCATGCAGCTGACCAGAATATACATCGCGCGGATAAATCTTTCAGTTGGAAAATAATAGTTTTTCATCGGTATCATTCTTCTTTGTTCGTCGAGAGCCATTACAGTCACTAGATACATCGCAAATAAACAATTACAAACTTTTTAAAAAACTTCATCATATTTTTTTTTTTTTACATGTAGTACACACACGTAATATACGTACAGTTTTGCAGATATTTTTATACAGAAAGAGATCTTGCATGGAAATTAGCGAAACATAAGTCATAAAAATTCGATGGACAGTGAACGCATTGATCTAGCATGATCCGTTCTTTCAAAATACACACTTTGTATCGAGAAATCTCTGGTAAACGAGTTATCATAGTTTGCATAGGAAATAGTAGTTGATCCTACTGATCTTCGCTGATGCGCCTACAGGGAAGAAAGTTCCGATCGAGCAGATTCACCGGTGGAAACGAAACTATCGCATGTAACGTCAATCGGTCTTCTTTAGGTTTTTTTCCGGCGATGATATCTCTCAGTGGGGCATAATTTCGCGCGGACAGGATTGGCTAAAACAAACACGCGGGGCCCATTTAAAATTTCTACTCGTGACGTCTTCATTTCGCGTGCCACGCCGCCACAGAAATAAATTGTTCGCCCGTGGCCTGTCGAGATCGAGTCGCGTGTTCATCGATTACCATCGACTTTGCATGGGAACATTACGGCCACGGAGAAAGTCGTTCGTAGGCGTTCATGCTCCCCTCGTAACAATTTCTAAAATCCGCTGTTGCGAGACCTCTTTCGAAGCTGTTTACCTTTTTAAACGGTAATTGCAGGCCTGCGTCTGGTAATTGTCCCTCTTACGGAAGGGACACTCTGTTATTTTTCCCCTTGAAATCTTTCGTCGTTGGTTTTTTACGAGGTAAGAAACGAGGGAAATAATAATAGCGTATTTTTCGAACGGTAAGTAGATCGTGTCAGAAGAACCAGACATCGCCGAGAGCATGCCTTGCACGACGTTCTCTTTGTATAATCTTTTTGCATTCTTGTCAATCATAGTAATCGGACGATGTAACGAGGCGTGATGCAACCAGCGAGAGAGGACAAACTTTGAACGCGTAACTTGTCGATAAGAGCCTTTGTATTTTAAGACTTGTCTGAATGAATAATTCGGTATTGCTTTCGTCTTATATAATTGTACGTTTAAAAGCTGCATTGCTTTGAGAGGTTTATTTTAAAGAAGAAGTGAAATATGAAGGAACTCTTACAATATCTCTAGCCTGCATAAATGGTTCATTACTTTGTCAAATTTAAATATGTCAAATCAAACCATGTATCTTAATTTAAATTATCGTTTGATCTGCGATATCGTAAAAAATAAATCGAATTTTTACAAACGACGAAATTTTATAACCAACTCTTCCCTTGTTTACACACTTAATGAAAAACATGATGCCAAAAGTGTTCATCAAATAGGAAGAGGCAAGACGAATACTTTGACCAGCATTAAACGACCGCGTGAGTATGTAAACCGAATAAAAAATTCTGAGAATAATTGTCTCTTAAGTTGGCCGACAGCCTAGATGTTGAGATATTCCCACCGGTGTGGTTTCCGGTCCCGCGGCCAATTATTATCTACCCCGGGCCGGATGCCAGGCGAAAGAAAACCACTTACGTGACACGCTAATAATAGGTCCTCGTACACCGGATTACGCGGAGCTTTTGTTCATTAGCGTACCATTTCGGTTTAATTGACACCTCTGACCCCGTCGGCGTCGGCTCATAGGCAAATAATGGATATCCTCGTCACTTTGTGGACGCCGGCACCGGTGGTCCACGCCAAAACCGATCAACCGGATGTGATTTTCCTTCGTAAGCCACGAATACATACTCCGCTTCTCTCGGCTTGCTGGTCAATCTTTTACCTTTTTTTTTTTTTTTTTTTAGTTTCTTTCCTTCTCTGGTTTTCACAGAGTAGACGTCAAAGGGTAGAGTGGCTCGTTTGGCAGCGATTAGAAGTCGTCGTTAGCGATAAAAGTGAATTGGTCGGGGTGTATGGCTTTGATCTTTGATTGGTACGAACTAGTGCTTGTTATGTAGTTAATTGCGATCATTAGAATTGCTGGTCGAATTAATCGTAGATAATTTACTGCTCCGAGTTACGTCTTGTATTCTACTTAATATACTATCTTTTCTTTTATTAAAGAGACTAGAATATTAAATGGATAATAAGAATATATTATCTATGAATCGTATTTTTGTTTTAGAAAGGGCTCGAAGTTAAATTGTTAAAACTGTTTGTTTCTCGACATACATTTTTAAAACGTACCATTTTAAATCAATATCAAATGAAGATCTCATTTTCAGACCGCTATGAAAAACAAGTCTCTCGGATTAATGACCAGCCGCACGAAATACAAGGTATAAAACTTCCGATAATGTTCCAGATAAAGTAAATGGAGCGGTGAAAAAAGCGGCAGGCTGGCGACCGCAGCCAATCAAACCCGATGTCCTAAAGTAACAGTGTAAATCATTTTAACACCAGCCCCATTAACCGACGTCCAATTAAATAATAAAAATAATTAACGAAAAATCGCTGCTGCGATTCTCGTCAGCGACAACCAGGTTGATCAACGAGAAAAAAAAGAAGGACAAGAAAAATCGAGATCAAAGAGGAACACCGTGTGTATCGATGATGTCTCTCGAGAATCTTGTTTCGACACTCCGGAGCCGGTCCATTAACGAATTAATACAGGGAGAAACTTGGTAATATATTCATGACCGGTAGTCGATTTTCTCGTCATCGACTGGCCCCTTTTGTACGCGCCTTTCAGCCAGAGATCACACACCACTCCGGTTAATCACCGTACTCGCCTCGCAGGATTATTAACCCTCGTTCGATCGAGAATGAGGCGCATTACCGGCGTGTTCGAGTAAAAAAACAGTGCAGCTTTCTCGTCCAGCGTTTCATCGATACGCGTACCGATACAGAAATCGATCGATTCCTTCGGCCCTTGCACGCGAAACCGATTGTATCGGTGATTTCGTCATACACAGCCTGGTGCACGTGTATCTTCATATTTTCTTCCCTCTTCTCCTCTTATTCTGCTCTTTTATTTCTTCTCTTTTTTAGTTTTCTTTCTTTGTTTTTTCTTTTCTCTTTGACCATTCTCTCGATGGAAAAAAATAATGAGGCAATTTTTGTTCGGTCGCGTGTATTGACGCAACGTACCCGCTTCTCTTAGGCAGAATTTTAAGCGCTTTCACTCTTGTTCGATCTCGTCCCAGTTTTTTCTCCTCGGCGAAAGTCTCCAGAGGGAAATAATAACCGAGAGCAAAGGTACGTAAAATCGGCGGATCGTTTTAACGAGATCGCGAAGCGATTGTGTAGCGATGATGTGTTGCGAATTCGGCTTATGTAATGGGATGATCAAGTATCGAACATTTACAAGTACAAAATTAAGAAGTAGGAAATTGAGAACTCGCCTGTGTTATTATGCTGGCAGATTATTCGCGTGAGTTTTAAGTAAATTATTTATTGTTTCATATTCAATTATTTTTAAAAATCTAATATTCTGTTCGCACCAAGATATCTTCTTAATGGAATAAACATTCATTTTAGGAATCTTAGGTGATATAGTAAAAAACAGTATGCATTTTTTAA